CAACTCAAAAAAAAAAAAAAAAGAAAGAAAGAAAATATCAGAACCCAAATTGAGAAACATTCTACAAAATATCTCACTCTTAAAAAGTGTCAAGGTCATGAAAAACAAGGAAAATCTAAGAAACTAGCACAGAGTAGAATAAAGAGATATGTTAGCTAAATGCAACACTGTATCCTGGATTTAATCCTAGGAAAGAAAAAAGGCATTAGTAGAAAACCTGGTGAATAAATAGTCTTCAGTTAATAGCATTATACTAATTAATTTCTTATTTTAAAAAATACATTTATCATAATAATTAGGTAAAGCTGAGTGTAAGTTTTATGGAAATTGTGTGTGTGTGTGTGTGTGTGTGTGTGTGTGTGTGTGTGTGTGTGTGTGTGTGTGTGTGTTTGAGACAGGATCTTGCTGTGTCCTCCAGGTTGGAGTGCAGTGGCATGATCATTGCTCACTGTAACCTCAAACTTCTGAGTTCAACTGATCCCCTCACCTCAGCCTCCTGAGTAGCTGGGACTACAAGTGAACACAACCATGCCTGGCTAATTTATTTTTATTTTTATAGAGATGAGGATCTCGTTGTTTTCTAGGCTGACCTCAAACTCCTGGTCTCAAGCAATAGTCCTGCCTTGGACTCCTAAAGTGCTAGGATTACGGGTATAAGCCACCATGCACAACCTGCACTATTCTTTAAAATGAAAATTATTTCAAAATTAAAAGTTTAAAAAATAGACCAGAATGAGTCTTAAGAATTCAAAATAAAACTCTTAGTGAATGAAAGTAGCTGAATAGTTGAGGAAACAAATTAAAATGTCATTAAAGAAATGGATTATTTAGTGAGAAAAGGGAGATTTGACAAACCAGAGTTCACAGCAATTATTAGGAAAAACAAAACAATTCCATGTTTATTCCATAAAAATTGAAACTACTTAATAAACTAGATGCATGCATATATACATATGATATGTATGTGCATAAAACTATTCTCTAAATAGTGTTCTGCCAACTTTTTCACTCAAAAATATAGCTTTTTAAAAATTGTATTCTATTATAGAGATGTGAGGTACAAGTCAGAATTAGCTACACAAGTAGGCTGGGTGAAGGTGAAGTTTTGGGCCTCCAACTGGTCCTCACTTCCCCTGGTTTAGGACCAGTTACCCTTTGGAGGAATATAAATTGTTCTATCAAAAAGACACCCGCACACACATGCTTATAGCTGCACTATTCATAATAGCAAAATATAGCTTTAATTCAACTCTATGTCACTATATGCACATAATTTCATTCCTTTTTATATCTGAAAATTTTCCACAGTATGGATAATTTATTGAATCGTTACTCATATTAATGGAAACTTCGTTTCCACCAATTTGACATTTCAACATTGGAGTGGTTATAAAATTGAACCAGTTATGGATTTTTTCATTATGGTACTTCCAAACCAGTGAGAAATACAAAGTAGACAGCCATCAAAACAGGGTCAAAGTGTTAGGCTGGGTAAATACAGAGTCTAATGGATCATGTAGCATGGGTAACTAATGTAGAACCAAGAGGTCAGTGAAAGATTTCTTTCCAATATAAATTTAACTTGTAAAAGCACATGAGGAATGCAGCTCCTATGTGCAGCAGCAATAGATCACTTCAGAGGCTGGGTAAAGATAGTTGGGCCTCTAAACGAGCAGGACCAGGATGTCTAGGGGGAAGAAGAAGGCAATCCAGAGGAACAAAATGGTGAAGAGGACAAAGAGAGAGAATCATAAGGGATACTTGGGGCAGAGTGAGTGAGGGTTTCTTTTGAATGGGGCAGATAAGTAGATGACAAGCCTGGAAACATGTCTTTAGGTTAATTCTAATGGAGGTTGAACATGAAGATGAGTAGTATAGGATTTACTTGATGGGTGGTGGGGTTGCCATCCAGGGCCTCTAATCAGGAGAATGACAGTTGAAAGCAGGGAAGAGTGAGGTTTAATTCGATAGTAATGTATAAAGTGGAATGAAGGGAGAAAGGAAGGTGCTGAAGGCAGGTAGTCCAGACTTAAGGCAATAAGAGCTTAAACCTTTTCATGAATCTTCATAGTAGCTCTTTTCTTAATTGCTCAGATCTAGGAAGAACTCAAATTCCTTCAACAGGTGAATGAATAAATAAACTGTGGAATATCCAAATAACAGAATGCTACTCAACAAAAAGAGAGTAATGAACTATTGATACAAGCAAAAACTTAAATGGATGTCCAGGGCATTATGCTGAGTGAAAGAAGTCAGTCTCAAAATGTTACATACTGTATGAAATCATTTACATAATATTCTGAAAAGGACAAAACTATAGTAATAGGGAATCAGTGATTACCAGTATTTAGGGAAGGGGTAAGATATGGCCACAAAAGGATAGCATGAAGGAGCTTTTTAGAGGTGATTGAACTGTATTCTGATTGTAGTGCTGGGTAAACAAATCTATACATTGGTTAAACTTCATAGAACTGAACACATACACACACAAAGTTCATTTTGCTGTTGATAATTTCTTTACAAAAAGTTCAGAGTTACTCCACACTAAGTGATTACATCTGAAAAAGTAGAACTACTTGGTGGTAGGCAATAATTAAATCTTTATAATTTGCTAGTTATATTTATACTAAAAACTCTCCCTAAATAATAGAAAATGTATCCTTAAACTGCGGCAGTTAATTATTTGTGCTTAAATAGAATTATAAAACATTAAGTCAGAAAAAATTTATTTTTTCCAACTCTTTCTTTTCTCTGTGTAGGCTTTATTGTTCGTTGAGGCATCTTGCTGTGACTACCCTAGACAAAAGACTCCCTCGGCCGCCCCCTGACTCTCCAGCTGGCTCATTAGCCAAATCGCCACGCCAGGCACCACCACACCTCCAAGTACCAGTGGATTCTGAGTTGCAGGGATATCAGTTTCTTATTTAATATTATTTTTTACAGCAATAGTGTTCTCTCTGTTTTCTGATCATAACAATTATGCATGTTGATAGTTCTTTTTTAACAGGACACAGTGGAGGATACCAGACTATTTCAAGATTCCATGAATGAGTGAAAATTCCACCTGCTAATAAGCCTTACGAACAATGGTGAGATACAGGGAACTCTCTACTTTCTGAGTGTTTCATGAATATATGGGAATTAAGTCCCAACAAACATATTTCTTTTCCAACAACAAAATATATATATATATTTTTTGAGTTGGAGTCCCACTCTGTCGCCCAGACTGGAGTGCAGTGGCCGCTCCCGGCCACCGCAGCCTCGACCTGCTGGGCTCCGGCGATCCTTCCGCCTCAGTCTTCCAAGTAGCCGGAATTACAGGCATGCATTACCACGCCCAACTGATTTTTTGATTTATTGTAGAGATGAGGTCTCGCTGCCCAGGCGGGTCCCGAACCCGCGGGCTCAGGCAATCCACTCACCTCAGCCTCCCAAAGGCGCAGGATTACAGGCTGAGCCACCGAACCCGGCTTATTTTTGAACAAATATATATTTTTGAGTTCCAAAAGAAGTTCAGTTGGAAGCTGGTTTTTCTATGGGCTTATCTGATTAATAAGGTACTGGCTCCTACAGAGGACACGAGGGGAAGAGGTCTGTCTGAAGCCTCTGTGTGAAACTTGAGTGGAAGCCACCAGCAGTCATCAATGAAAAAGATATCTAACACTTGATAACTTGAGTACAGCCAGAAAAGAAATAGTGGATTACTTATACAAAATTGCTAACAAAAGAAAACTGAGCCTCTTTCCACAGATTAATTTGGAAGTCAAAATTTTTTTAAAGTGCTGTTTCAGTAAGATAAAAAAATTCTAACACATCAATATGTTGTGGATACTGTCATTTTATTTGCCACTAGAAAAGTTTTTCCAAAGCCTTAAAAATTGATATAACTAAATTAATTTGCCCTCCACATAGTGTTAAATATTGCTTATGAGGCAGTCCTTTTAAAATATAATTTTTAAAAGTGTGATGATTGTTTAAAACATGGAACACAAACAGAAAGCTATTTACGGGGAGCAAAATCCCACACTCTCATCCCTAGCTTCTTTTCCAGCTCTCCCCACCATTTGCCACCTTTGCCCATTTTAATGCTGGACAGGATTCCAGAGGAAATAGTGGACTGTGGGGTCTTGGGGGAGTAGAGGTGGGCATTTGGGGGCAAGAGAAAAGAATTATTCCCCAAAGAAGGAGAAATGGTCGATTTTCCCTGAAAAGCTGATTTTCCTAGTAATCTGAGAAAGGCGAATAGATACTTTAGGGTAAAGATACCAATTTTATTGCCTCTGACTGATAAATATGAAAAAAGACTGACGGTATCAAGTGGAGAGAACGCAGGGGGCGGGCTGCAGTGTTAATGGGAGGGGTAACTGGGGACTCGAGCTCATTGATGACGCGACCCTCACGTGACCAAGAGTCGACGTGTGCAGAAGTCCTTACAGTCCAGGGCCTGTTCCCCTGTAGCAGCTCCCTATTGCTGGAGGAGAAAAGTGTCCGGGATCCTTTCGGGTCAGTATAAAGGTGGGTGCTAACTTGCAGACTCTGAAGTCGAGGGGCCGCCGACAGCTGAAAGTAAGCGGGGCCGGCATTGCTTTCCCTAACCTACTGTTCCGCCAAACTCCCATATTGTGCAGGAAATCTTGGGCTGGTAATGGTGGGGGCTGGCGTGTAGGGAGGTGGGAGAGGGAGGACGGTAGCTAATTGAGGGTCTTGAGAGAGACATAGAAACAATGTGAAAGAAACTTGCCTCTCCCGCTCCCTGCTTGCAGGGAAACAGGCACGGGGGAGGGCGGGGTTGCTTTAAAGGGAGGGAGAGGATGTGGACTTGGGAAACTTCAGACCAACAAGGCCTAGAATCGTGAAAAGGACCCGTGATCCCGGTGATAGCCTGCTCACCAAGCATTCCTGTCTGTTTGCAGGACTCTTGGTTTTTTGGGCGCGACACAAATCAAGGTGAAGGAAAAGGGAGGAAATCCTTTGGATCCCTGCAGGTCAGTGAAAATGTGCAATAGCTTCAGATCCCTTTGGGTGGGGGTGGAAGTGTGAATGACACCAAAGCACACCCCGGGGTCGCCACAGTCTCTTCCCATCCGGATCAAGCGCCGGAGGCCTGTACCGAGCCTGCAGCGGAAATGGGGCGGGGGACGGGGGAGGCTGAAGAGACATAGAAGGGGGTGGGGAGGCCAGAGACTGTACCAGCCCTCTCAGGTGAGAGACTGAAGGTTGGGATGGCTTTGGAAAGTGCGAAAGGGCGGGAGTATCAGAGAAATGAGGCGAGAGAAGGGTTAATTGCTTCTGCCTGCTCCCATTTCAGTGTTAGGGGAGGCTTGTTGCAGGGCCTGCTGGGAAAATGGTGGGCAGGAACGGGAGGAGAGAAGATGGAGCTGGAGCCAGAGGGGGAGGGATGGGAGGTGGAGTCAGGGGAGTTCTGAGCCTGAGAATCTAGTCTTATCTAGCTAGGAAACTTTAGACAATTAGGGACCTGAGTCTGAAAAGGCCAGTTGCTATGGGAACCCATACTCTGGCTGCTGGTCTGATTGTCTGGCACCTAGTCGTTTTGTTTCCTTGTTTTCTAGGACTAATTTATTCAAAAAGAAAATAATACAAAATACTCAACATGCAAAAGTCTTGTGAAGAAAATGAAGGAAAACCACAGAATGTGCCAAAGGTCGAGGAAGACCACCCTTCGGAAGATGTACCACAGGAAGCAGAAGGAATTCTTCAACCTTCCCAAGAAGGTGTAAACCAGGAAGCAGAAGTCAGAGGAGGGCCAACTCAGCCTGACCAGGGATTTAAAGAGGACACCACTCCCATTAGGCATTTGGACCCTGAAGAAATGATAAGAGGAGTAGATGAGTTGGAAAGGCTTAGGGAAGAGATAAGAAGAGTAAGAAACAAGTTTGTGATGATGCATTGGAAGCAAAGACATTCACGCAGCCGTCCTTATCCTGTGTGCTTTAGGCCTTGAATTCATTTTTGCCTGATATTAAAATCTGGCCCCGGCTTTCTGTCTGTTAACGTTTTCTGATGTATCTTTGACCTTTATTTTACTTTTAATCATCTGGTGGAATTTTGTTTTAGATAGTTTCCTTGTTACCAGCATCTCATTGGATTTTGAATTTTGTCCCATTTTCAAGGTCTATTTTTGAATTAGGAAGTTTCACACATTTGCATGGAAATATGTTCATTTCATATTGTTACAACGCAGCATATCTAGTATCAGCTCACATATGTAAGATAAAATTCCAAATTGTGTGTGCGTGTGTATACATACATATATCATATATCAAAAATTTAACCATGCTTGTTTCTGTGTAGTGTGAAGTTTATTTGATCTTGATTTTTGTTTTTGTTTTTGCTTATGTGTATTTTTTAATGAATACGTGTCTCACAAAAAGAATTTAGGATTTTTTTTATAAGTAAGAGTCAATCAAATAATTTGCAACTGGCTTATAAGGACAATGGGGGCACCTAAACTCTTGATGAAAGAACTATAAAAAGGAAATGTAAACCTCAAATTGCCTCTGGATCGTTTAGCCAGAGGAATAAAACTGGCGATTGTTACAGATATAAACGTTTAAGAGTCAGTCTTTTCTGGGGAAAATATTTGCCTCACAGGGCTGCTTAATAAACACTTAATAACAAGTAGAAAAAAAGAAATGTAAACCTCAAATTACCTCTGGGTCTTTTAGCCAGAGGAGTAAACTGGCAATTACAGATTCACACGTTTAAGAGTTGGTCTCTTCATGGGAAAATATTTACCTACCAGGGCTGCTGTGGGGAAGAAATGAGGGCATGCTCAGTGGGATCTTGTTCCCACCTGTGCATATAGAATCCCAATCCACTATAGAACCACAATTATTTGAGAAAGGGCCTGGCATGACTCAACTTGTACTCAGGAACAAGTTCAGTAGGCAGAGGCTGAGGCTTCCATGCCAATCCTTTGATGTTGAGCCCTACTCCCATCTTCTCCCCCTGGGTCCCGCCATGCCTGTTGGGCATGACTGTCTCTTCTGGGTCCTTTGCTCTGCTGGCCCCCACTGCTGCGGGTGCACTGCTGTCCTTGAGTCCCCAAACCCTACTGAATTTCTAGTCCCCAGTGAGTCTCCCACTTTGTCCTCTAAAGCCTCTGCTTTACAGCGACACAACATAGGCGAGACTACTTGGGTTGCTTCGGCCACAGTGTCTTGCAGAATCCTTAGCAAAACAGCCCCTTCTGCTCTTAATCACATGGCCTTTCCTCTCCACTGTATTCAGATGTGATGAGTCCATTTGGGATTTGGACTGGGGCACACGTTTTTGTGAAAGACGTCATGCCATAGTCAGAGTTGCTACTCTAAGGAATGAAGTTTTGTCCTCTTGTGGTTTGATCTCTCCCTGAAGGCACCTGGCAGTCTGCCTTAATGATTCAGAAAATTTCTCCGGGAATGTGCAGAAATTGCACAAAGTGATGCAAGGAACAGATATAAGGAGCAGCCTCCTTCTCTTCATCTCTTCCCCTGTTGAAATGTGATTTTGAAAAACTTACAAAGGCAGTAGGAAGTTTATAAGTGTATATGAAGTAGAATGCTGCTATATAAATGGTAGGGATTATATTTCCCTTCTAGAACAAAGACTATCTTTTCCTTCTGGTATCCTCACTTACTTGTAGCTGGTTAATTGGCACAAGTTTTAATACTTAATTGATTTTTCATTATTACTAAGAATCCAATAGATTTGTCCAAATTATGTTACTGACTGAATAATCTACATGTCTTTTTATTTATCGAGTTAAGACAAGCAATTCAGAAAAGAAATAGGGCAGAGAATGGTTAAAACTTCAAATGTTTTATCAAAGTATCTTGCATAATCATTTGCATCAGAATCAACTGGGGAGCATCTTGAAGATGCTGATTTCTGGACTCAACGTAGTCTACTGACCCACATTCTGGAGGTGGGCTATAAAAGTAACATAGTTCACAAACTCCTCCAGGTAATGATACACACTGAGGCATGTGACCTACTAGTACATGGGTATGCTTTCCATTATTATAAACATTAATCATAAAATAATTGGAAGGAAACACTGGTGAATGCTTACTGAAATTCAAGATGTAGAAGGCATAGTATGAATTTTTAAAGGAAAAACATGAGAAATATATACATTAAATTTAAGAGTCCTATTAGCCGGGCTCAGTGGCTCAGCCTGTAATCCCATGCTTTGGGAGGCTGAGGTGAGTGGATTGCTTGAGCCTGCGGGTTTGAGACCCACCTGGGCAACTTGGGGAGACCTCATCTCTACAATAAATAAATAAAAAATAGAGTCCTGTTAAAGAAAGAAGAGATAAAAAGCCAAGGGAGAGAATGACATTTAAGAAGCATTTTTTCTTGACTGAATACCATGTTTAGTCATGCACTATCTCTTTCCAATATGAGTAAAATGTATCAGAAATAAATTCCAAGCCCTCTTTCTGTGATGAACTCACAAAACAGTGAGTCAGCCCTGTGCCTTTTTGTTTGTTTATTTTCACTATATGCTATAATTTGGAGGGATCTCCGTGTCTCCAGACCATTCTTTAAGGTGATGGCAACCTAATGGATACTAGTAAGGCTGAAATTACAGCTGGAGGGGGATAAGGTTCAAGGCATGCTGGAACCAGTTTTACAAGACAGAATAAATCTATCCTCTTTGCACTCAGAGGAGTGGTGCTCAGACAGAATGTGGAAGAGCTTATCCGGTTCACACTCCTTTCTAGGCTAGGTCTGACTTTGGTTTCTCTGCTCCAGTCTGAAGCAGGCACAAGGCTCTCCTAGGCTGATGGCCAAGCTGTCCTGGACAGACATACCTGGAGGAGGATGACTGCAGGTCAGAACTAAATAGAATAAGTCATTCATTTGGAATTGTAAAAGTAATAATTGAATTCCATATACATTTACATTATTTATACACTCTGGTGCTGTTTCTGTATTGCAGGATGAGAAAAAAATATTCCCCTCCACATTTTTCTTTTTTTCATTTTTCTCCACATTTTTAATTATATTTAGTTACCCACCAGGAAATCTGAAATCATGAGGAAAACCTTGCTGTCATGAGTTACAAAATATGACACAAAAAGTGTTTTCTGATATACTATTTCATGAAAAAGCCAACTACAAGACACACACACACACACACAAACACACACACACACACACACACACACATTTAAGGATAAATGTCTAAATATTTGAAGTGAATATTTCTAGGTGACATTACTCGGGGAATTTATGCTTCATCTTTATCCTTTTCTGTATTTCAGTTGTTTTTTTTTGGTTTGGTTTGGTTTTGTTTTTTGAGTTGGAGTCTCACTCGGTCACTCAGACTGGAGTGCAGTGGCCACTCCCGGCCACCGCAGCCTCGCCTGCTGGGCCCCTGCGATCCTTCCGCCTCAGCCTTCCAAGTAACCGGAATTACAGGCATGCGCTACCACACCCGGCTGATTTTTTGATTTATTGTAGAGATGAGGTCTCGCTGCCCAGGCGGGTCTCGAACCCGCGGGCTCAGGAATCCACTCACCTCAGCCTCCCAAAGGCGTGGGATTACAGGCTGAGCCACCGAGCCCGGCTTGTATTTCAGTTTTAATTTTTTAAATGAGCATGTGGTAGTTAAAGAGGTGAAAACAGTGTAATTTAATTTCTTCTTTCTCTTTAGCTGTTGTAGGGGCTGTTGGCTTTTCTGATTCATCATTTGCTTCCTGTTCCATCTTACTTCTGAGAGGAACCTGGGATAAATATCAGATCTATGTGGGTCCTGGCTGAGAAGCTTCCCCTCTCTCTGTACCTCCTTGACACTCTCTCGTCAACTAAATTTACGCTGTAGTTCTGTCTTTGGTCACATGGTGGCATTTCATAGCGCCTTTCTAAATATTCTCCAATAAAGTTGTGTTAACTTTGCAAAAATATACAGTAGTCATAAATATGACTTTCAGAGAACAATGTAAAACTGATTCTCAACTCTGCTAAAAAAATACAGTTATAAAAAATACTGGAAGGATATGCCCCAGTTTATGAGGGGGGACCCAAAATGTATTTATTAAAAACTGTTATTTATTCTTGCATGTTTAAACTTCAGTCACCTTCAAAGTACTCTTCATTGTATGCAATTCACCTGTCAAGATGCTTTTTCCACTGCTCAAAACAGTTTTGAAACTTTTCCATTTTGATGCCTTTTAGTGCTTCTGCCATTTTTTGTTTTGCCTTTTCCACATCAGCAAAATGTTTCCCTTTGAGAACTTTTTTCGTCTGAGGAATAACAACCAAAAAGTTTCTTAGGGCAATATCAGGTGAGTGAGCCATGGGAGTCATGTCATTTTTGGCCAAAAACTGCTGAACACTCAGCATGATGTAGGCAGGTGTGCTCAAAAATCAACCATCATCAAATGGACAAACGTGTTGAAAGAATCTGAAAAAAAAAATTCACTGAAGTCAAATGCAGCCTCTCACAAGGCTAACTGGTACACTGACGCCAATGGGCTCCTATAACACTTACCTAGCAGCGGAAGCCTGTACCACAAGGAGTCCACCCTCCAAAAAGATAATTCCTGTTTTTTGCCCCCCTCATATTTGCTGGAGACTTGCAAGTTTACATTTCATTTATATACTCATTTAAACAAATATTTACTGGATATATACTGTGTGTAAGACAGTGCTAACCAAAATCCATTTATCCATCCTAGACTTTTCTCCTGAGATTCTATATTCAACAGCCTGTTCAAATTGATCACACAGACCAAGAGAAATATTATTATTTGACTATATGAGCATGACCCTGTATGGACACATACTTATCACCTTTAGCCAATCTATCTCTTAAACCTGGAGGTTCACCATGTAAAGTGGAGGCAGTATGAAAAAGTAAGGAAAGCATAGGTTTTAAAGTCAAAAATATCTGTTGAAATAGGACTCTCAGCAGGACTCTTAGTAACCCAGAGAGTGGGTTAATAATATTGAATTTCAAATACAGGACATACCTATACTATCTAGGATTGTGATTGAAAATTTTTATTATGCATTTGACACCATTGATGTAGATGATTTCCAGTGTCTCCTTGTTTTTCAACATTTATTGAGCTTCTGCTAACTGTCCTGGCCCTTGGCTAGGTCCTGAAATACAGCAAAATACAAAGCAAAGTTTTTGTCTTCGTAATCCTTATATTCCAATTCATATTCTTTAAAAAAAATAGGTAAAATTTACATACAGGGAAATGCATAGATCTTAAGTGTGCAATTCATATGATTAAATGTGTGTAAAATAGAGCCTTTCCATCACTCCAGAAAGTTTTTTGTCCTTCTTCTCAGTCACTTCTCCAGTAACCACTTAGGCTAATTCTATCAATTTATATTCCCATTATCTGTTGTGTAACTTCAGGTAAATAGAATCATACGGTATATACTCTTCTATGTGTAGCATGTTTCATTCAATATAATGTTTTAAAGATTCATTCTTAATTTATGTGCATTAGTTACTTACTCTTTTTTAAAATTATTGCTGTGTAGTATTCACAGTATGAATATGCAACAATGTATTTATCCGTTCAGATGTTGTTGAACAT